GAACAATAGATTGAATTTAACGGTCGTTCTTATTAAGTGTATTGAAAGTAATATTTATAAATTGCCTATTGATGAGTGGATCTTGATCTCGAACCACTCATTTCCTGCATTAAATGGCTTAGCTTCTTGTTCCCTACATTGTACGGAGGTAGATAGGAGTTTGTCACAGCTAGCGAAAGACACTAGGGGTTTTTTAAGGGATATGAATGATAGGATTATTTTTACTCGTGCAGATAAGGGAAATATGACGGTGGCATTGAATAGCCAGATGTACATTTCCAGGGTAAATGAGATGCTTCAGGATGTAAATATTTATGAGGTAGTTGAAAGGAATCCGACGAGGAGGATGATAACGGGGTTTATTAGTTAGTTGGAAAGAAAAAAAGTATATAGCTAATTCCACATATAGAAGTTTGTTAAGTGGTGATGGGATACTTCCGAGAGCCTGTGCTCTTCCGAAAATACATAAGCAGGACTGTCCTTTTATAATATAATATTATAGTTTCTTCGATAAATAGCCCTTTGTATTCGTTAGCAATGTTTCTTTATAATATTATCATAAAAACAATTCCTAAGGCGGATAGTCATATTAAAAATAGTTTTAAACTTGTTAAGGAACTTGATAGTAGACGTTTGAGTGAATTTCAGTTAATGGATGTTGTGAGTTTCTTTATTAACGTTCCCATTGACTATGTCAATGAATTGTATTAATGATCATTGGCGATTTATTTCTAGAGATTGTTTACCGGAGAAAAAATGCATCACAGCGGTTCAGTTTTAGATTCTACTTTCTTTGTTTTTGATAGTGTTATATATAGATAGAATTAGGGACTTTTCTAGACTCTCCATTGTCTCCCGTCATTGAAGATCTAATTATGCGAAAGCTAGAGGTTAGAGCTTTGTCTTTGATTCGGTTTCCGTTGCCCTTTTACTGTAGGTTTGTTAATGACATATTATTGGTGGCACCTGTCTTCGGTTAGTTCCATTTTTAATATTTTTAATTTTCAGCCTCCTAGGCTTCAGTTTACTATAGAGGTAGGGGATGATAGATTGAATTTTTTGAATGTTACAATGGTTAGAGGTAATGAGTTGATAGACTCAATTGGTACCACAAGCCGACTTTTTCGGATAGATATTTGAATTTTTGGTCACAACATCCTGTTTCTCAAAACATAGTTATAATCGCAGGATTAGATACTTTTGCTTTCGAATACTAAATTTCACCTTGATAATTTGTGTTTCAATATTAAAGTATTGTTAGAGAATGATTATCCATTGAACTTTATATTTTAGAATATTAATAATCAGTTGAAGAAAATTATTATGGCTAAAAATAGGAAGAGTGTTGTTAATGATAATAGGGTAGAAGTAGTGCAGCCTTTGTGGTTCACTGTGCCTTTCGTTCGTGGTATTACTGAGAAGATTAGCAGATTGAATAGTGAGAGTACGAGGATATTGTTCTATAGTACTAATAAATTGCGAGAATTCATGCAAGTTGTGGGACAGATGTGTAGGCAGTTGAAGTCAAGAATCACGGAGCATAAGAACTATCAGATGAAACACCTCTACTCGTAATGTCAACGAAGCATCGGTTACAAGAAGGCCATGATTCCGATTGGGACAATGTTACAATACTGGACGAGGAGCCTCACTACAGGAAGAGATTAATTTCAAAGATGATATTCATCAGGAGACAACTCAACAGACAAACATGGAGGGGCTTCCCAAGGCCTACCTCCCAATCATAGACAAGCTATAAAGGCTTGGGTTGTCACGTCTAATCAATCAGTGTTGTTCGTTCTTTCTGGCGCGATTTTTTATTAGTTTCAAACTTTCATTTTCATGGAACTGATTAACGTTCTAATGCGAAATTTTTCATTATAAACTTTAATAATACTAGCTGAAAGTAAAAATGACTCACTGTGTCTGACTAGCCAAAAAATGTCGAGAACCAGGTTTTGAATAGTAATGTTTGCGATATAGTTTGTGATTTATAATCAGGATGAGCGTCTTTATTTTCATGATACTTAATTATAATCTTAAGATTTTTAACAAATGAGTTTTTCATATCCTCTATTTCGATATTTCCATTATTTTGTTCATTTTTCCTTTTTCTTTTTCTTTCACTTTTTTGGGGTTTAATTCTTGCATTTAAATTCTCGAAGTAGGGGAGCACACTGCGACAGGATAATTTTTATTCACAGTTTGTGTATGTTAATTTGTGTTGACTCTAAGGAGGGCTCAAAAGTGAGCCGAACCATGTAAGCGGATTTTAGTGAATAAAGAAGTTCCACACTTCATAGATATATTATTTGCGCGACGTTTTCTACGCTTGACTTCTACTGCCTATATCCTTTCCAATTCTTTAATTTTTTAATTTTTAAGTTACTTATTTTTATTAGATTTCGTTTTTGAGTTTTTAAAATTATATATTTTTATTTTACTTTTAATTATACATATTTTTAATTAAAAAATTTAAATAACAGCGGTGTAAAGACTCTTAATGTATAAACAAAATAAACAAAATAAATGGCGAAAAAGAGTCGTCGTATAATATATATAATTAAAGATAAAAGTCATAGATACATAAAATAAAACGGCATATTATATATTAAAATATATAACAAACAAGTTTCGGCTGCTGGATTGAGCCCTCCTCAGATGTAAAAAGAATATAATATAAAAGACATAAAAGAATACAACAAAAAAATAATAATAAATCAATAACATTCAGTGACGCAACATTTTTAACGCGCGGAAATCAGCAAATGTGATGGATCTCGACGTAGCTTAATGTTGTATATGCGATGGGGCAATCAAACCGATGTTAAGAAACATAGTCAAGTGCTGACTGAAAAACGGAAAAGGAAGGGAACTCATAAGAAACAAGTAAACTAAAAAACTTAAAAACTTAAAAACTAAACACGCCGCAGATAAGAAGCCAAGTGCTCACTCACCAACGCATCCGAACAGGAAATGAGAACCGCCGCAATGCATGACAGGTGTGAAAACCCATGACAATGATAGGGATGTAATCGTCGAAGTCAGACATGTCAATAACGCACGTGACACCGACCGCTCGCTAAAACGGCACGCGACGCACTGAGAGAGGAGACGGGTCGACAGGATCGAAAGTCAGACTTTGTTTATAATCGGCAGATATGCCTTATTAAGACCCTCGGTGTCAGTCTGTAAATTAAGACTGTTCTTCTGTTTTTTAATATGTAGCATCTCCGAAATCAAACGCTTTCTATACGAAGGCTCCTCGTCTAATATCAGAACATTGTCCCATTGAAAATCGTGATTGTGACTCAACCTATGATCGGTGATGACAGAGCGGGCAGAAGCTTTATGTCTAATATGATTACGATGTTCGGCAATCCTGGTTTTTAATTGCCTACCCGTCTGCCCAACGTAAGAAGCGTCACAATCATTACATAAAATTTTATAAACAACGTTGCTTTTCGATGTGCTGGGACAAGAATCCTTCTGGACTCTTATGTATTTGCTCATTTTGTTAGGGCTGCTTTACACCGCTGTTATTTAATTTTAACGCTGGCGTCAACAATGCGTACTTTTCATCGCTCTTATTTTGATTTTATTCGCTTTCACTTCGGTTCTCACGCTGTCAATTGCTTAAAGTCTTGGATTACAGGTGCACCTGTAAATGCCGCCGTCTTATTGTGAAGACGTCTTATGTACACGCACGTTTCATTAAGCAGTGTATTCTCAACGATGTCATTCCGAGACACTTGAGCGTTTTTGACAATTGCAGTATTAGTTTCTATAGTTCCAGTTCGGACAAAAAGTTGTCAAATCTCAAATCTTTGATGATTAAGAGGATTTTGCGCATTGAGTTGAGTGATTCGTATAGGGCTATTGACCGATACAGAGCCTGGCTTTTCCATCTGGTGGGCTGCATCTCGGTTTTTCTGCCGATGAACATCGGTGACGAGTTCCTCCGGACTCAGGGAAAATCGTGTCATCGCTTCTTTACCAAAGAAAGGGAGAGGCTCGATTCCAAGCTCCGATGGTTGATCAACAAAAAGTTTAAGCGATCCATCGTTGGGATCGTGCTCATTCAATACAATCTCGACTCTGTCCGTAAGCCAGTCAATTCAACTTCGGGCAATTCCTTTGGATCTTTGGGGCGCGACTCTCTCGTTAACCCAGCTCCGTACGTAGTCGACCCTTCTTCCTTTCCAACTAA